AGAGCTGAGGCACTGGGAGGGGAGGCAATATGGTCAGTTTTGGGATACAGTGTGATATCAGTCTCTCTCAGTTCACAGGCTACGTCCAGGAGATGTGAAGGTAGTAGCTGCGCTGGGAGACTCTCTCTCTGTGAGTATGTCTGTCTCCTCTCTCACTGGACTCCTCTCTGTGCCTCTCTTTCGTGTCCTTCCCATTTCTTATATACCTCTCTGACAAGGTGACAGGAGATCACACTATTATTATTATTATTATTATTATTATGGCTCACTGTCTGTTCCTCAGATCATACCCTAATCTATAATTCACTCTGTGTGTGTCTGTCTCTGTATGCACGTCTCGTTCCAGGCAGGGTTTGGAGCTAAGGCGACCAGCATCCTCAACCTGCGGACGGAGTGGAGAGGACGGTCCTGGAGGTGAGGGGTCAGGCGTCAAAGGTCACTTGCAGTCGGACATGTACACCTCGTCCTGGACAGAGAAAAGGCTCTCAGGGATCTTAATTGTAGAATAAACCAATTTCAGGTTGAACCTCTTATAACAGGGCAACTGGGACTGGTCTGTAGAAACCACCAGGGGGTGGCGCTGCAACAGCCCAGGAATACTTTCCTCCCGATCTCACGAGGAAGTTAGGGAACTGGCTGCCCCTGGGGACACCCACTCCCCGTACAAACACTCACTGGGGAGACAGACGAGTCTGACCAGACCCTCACGGTCACTCAGGACAGTGAGATTGTGTGTCCTCAGGTTGAGACCTCTGGGGAAACCTTCTCCAATGCTGCTCTGTTGGGGGTGAAAGTGAGGTTACGACTATTCCTATTGGGTAGCAGCCTAGTAGGGCGCGAGTTTGGCCAAGCAGAATCGACTGGGTGAGGAACTTCCGCTGCTACTGGACTCCACCAGGGAGCTCATCACACAGATAGAAGGGCGACTACAGGGGAGGAAAGGGAGTGTGACATCGGGGTGTTGAATCTCCCTGATCGGGCTGGGTTTGTGTGCAGATCCCCCTGCTGTGCTGCAATCAGACCCACTGACTAGAGCTGCTGACAGACCTGTGTGCTCTGGCTGTAGTGACTGGGACCTGAGTGTGTGTTTGTGTCTCTGCAGTATCGGGGGAGATGAGAGCCTGGAGAAAGTCACCACTCTGCCCAGTGAGTGCCACCCTCACCTCTCACCTCTGACCCTTCACCTCTCTCCTATGCCCCTTGTCCACCGCAATCCAGCTCTCGGTCATTTGTGGATCTTTATTTGGTGTTTTAGTTGAACTGTCCCTGTGGAGTTCTCAACCTTCCCCTCTCTCCCGTCCTGCTCTCCCAGATATCCTGCGCAAGTTCAGCTCCTCTCTCTACGGCTTCTCGCTGGGTAGAGGAACAGCCAACAGCCGCTTCAACATGGCAGTGAGCGGCGCCAAGGCTGCGTGAGTCTCCCAGACTTCCTGTCGGTCTCTGTGTCTCTGTGTGGGCAAGGCTGTACGAACACAAGACATGTCACAGACAAGAGGAGCCGTTCGGCTCCGCCAGCTCATCTGGCGGTGTGTTTGAGAATTTTGAATACTTGTATCAGTCTCCTCATTGTCTCCTCTGTTCAAGACTGAAGAGACTCAGTTCCTTGAGCCTGTCAGTGTAGGACAGCCACTTAATACTTGTATCAGATCTCCT